AGTTTAGTATAAATATGTGTAAAGTGTTTGCACAAATATGAAGTTGAAATTTTGCAAAGTGTTGTAAGATATAGTATTGATTTTCTCCAAAGAGTTGGAAAAATAAGAATAGTTCTTCAAATATAATTTGAGAAAAAGTTATTAAATTTTTCTCCCAAAATATTATCTAATTTAATATTTCTATACAAACCGATACTTTTCTACTAGCGAAGAAAGGGGCTATCGGAACCGGAATTTGAAAGGTGGATACATTTAGAGGGAAGGCACTTGAATTCCTAAGTGAGTAAACACAACGTGTTACTGTTATCAAACCGGGAATCGATTCCCTCATCCATCGTCAATTTGAAGGAGTTCAAGTTTAACGGTAAATATTATGTTTACTTTCAAACAAATCAAAATTTGTATTATTACATGTTTTTAAAGATGACGATCTATTAATTCGCCATATGTATGTACGAGTTACGTATTTAATTGTTAAATACATGTTTTAAAAAATTTAGATTCCGCTGCGTATAGCTCGTACGGTACATGCGAACCCAACAAGGACTTGCCTTTGTATCCTCACTCAACTGTTGTCAAAAGCTCGAGCACCTCGAAATAATTGCAACGGCGTTCTTCCAGTCTCTGTCGGGAATCTGTCTGCTTCTTTCCTTTCGATTTGCTGCATCAAATTGAGGGCTGGTGGGGCCCGGCTCATTCCCGAGTTCAGTAACTTTGAATATCTCGAGACCTTGGAACTGTCAGAAGAAGCGATTCACGGGATTCATACTGCCCGGTTCTCGGAGTCGATTCTATTTTACAAATGGATCAAACAAAATCAAAAAATTGATGTCGGCCAATTTTTGATCTGGTTGTATGCGAATCGACTTTCAAGAATAAAGGGGTTCAACCGTTGTTGGATGTCGTCGTGGATTTCTTGCCATCCCTCATCGATTTTTTATGTGGTGAAGAGAGAGATAATGAATAGAAAAGACAAACTGTCACAAAAGACAACACTAAATTAAATAATAATATAAAGAAAAAAAATTGTTAGATCCAACGGCGCCTACAGAAAGGAGTAAAATTAGAAACAAAAGAGATAACGTTGTCTAAATAATATGTTGGCCTATTAATGTAAGGGAAATTTACATACTTATGACTCCTAGTCATCTTAATTTCATATTTACGATAGGAAAGAAGTTTTATCATACCAAGATTTATAGATGCAAATAATATTAAAAATACGGTTCATTAGTTTAATCCCAAGAATCTTGCAGTAATCCACTCCTCCATAACAAACGCAATTATCCTCATATTTTCTAAAAAATCATTATAAAATTATGAGACATAATTTCATTATTCTTTCGATCGATTTACAGAGCACGCTCCCGTCGATCTCCCTCTCTCTCTCTCTCTTTCTCTATCTCTCTCTCTCTCCCTCTCTCTCAATATCACGATTTGGGATTGGAAATCGAAAAAATTAAGTTGACCCAACAAATCATTAGATGCGCACAAGAAAACGAAGGTATTTTCAAATTCTGAGTTTGTTTATTTATTTATATTTTTTTTGTGTGTGTTTGATGTGACCTAGGTATTTTTTATCTCTATACATGTAGAAATATGTCTGAACTAATAATGTTTATCCATTTCAATGGCATATGAATGCAATATTACCCACTAAGATGTATGCAATGGAGAGGTGAACCATCATAAAATAATCATGTAGGATATTTCTTATGATTCGCTGAGCATGTTGCAGATATTGTGGTTGAAACGACAAATATACGGAAGATATTGTGGTTGTAACGACAAAATATATGGAAGATATACGTGAGATAAACAAACACAGAGGATGTATCAAAGTGGTCAATGATGTTGCAGATATTGTGGTTGTAACGATAAAATATATGGAAGATATACGTGAGATAAACAAACACAGAGGATGTATCGAAGTGGTCAATGATGTTGCAGATATTGTGGTAGTAACGACAAAATATATGGAAGATATACGTGAGATAAGCAAACACAGAGGATGTATCGAAGTGGTCGATGATGTTGCAGATATTGTGGTTGCAACGACATACTCGGAAGATACACATGAGATAAACAAACACAGAGGATGTGTCGAAATGGTCGATGATGTTGCAGATATTGTGGTTGTAACGACAAAATATACGGAAGATATACGTGAGATAAACACAGACATAGGATGTATCGAAGTGGTCGATGATGTTGCAGATATTGTGGTTGTAACGACAAACTATACGAAAGATATATGTGAGATAAACAAACACAGATGATGTTTCGAAGTGGTCGATGACATTACAAATATTGTGGTTGTAATGACAAAATATACGGAAGATATACGTGAGATAAACAAACACAGAGGATGTATCGAAGTTGTTTATGAGTACTTAAGGTTTAATATAGTGGTCGGACAATGATTTCCAAATAAAAGTGCAGTGCGGTATTGTAAGGATATCTGGCTTATTGTCCGTAGGCAACCATATGCCTTATCGCCAGGAAAAGTAAATAAAACATTTGAATGAATTGTTATTAAAATTACTTCTTTGAAGATTCTTTGTATATGGCTTGGTGTAATTTTCTTTTGTCCATTAATTATTAAATTAGCTTATTTTTTGTGCCTTTTTCTTGTTCCAATTAAGGTAATTGTTATTTTTAACTAAAGTATATGTTGCGTATACTGAAACCCAACATAAATTATGGTGAAACGAAAGTAGTTGTGTATTTTTTTACGAATCTAGTTATTTTAGATAATTGTAGTATAATTTGTGTATGTTAATTCAGCCAAAAATGAACCACCAACACACAGTAAACTCAAATATTTCAATTTTTCACAACTCAAGCTCATAATAAATAATCAATACAAAAACCTTATTCAAGCCTAAGACTTAATTTTTAGCATCAATCAATCAAAAAACAATAATCCTACATTTCTATTGGACCTAAAAGCATAGAAAATGTCACATAACCTAAAAAAAGCATTAAAAAACCAATTTTTAGGATGAACCCCGTCATTCATCTCGTTTCACATAATCCCCGCCTCTGAAGCATGAATAGCCCATCAAGAACCTGTGACACACTTGAACTCCAAACAAACGTGCAGATCCTTCCCATTTTTCCCCTTCTTCTTCTTCAGGCTCCCCGACACAGGAGAGAACATCTTGTTGGCCCACTCCTGGCCCGCATAGCTGCCCTTCTCATCGTACCCGACGTTCCCATAACAACAATCCTACATCGAGTAGAAATCCTTGTGGTTAAAAGCTCGATTCCCTTGGACTAGAGCTCCTCGACGATTGCATCGAATAAACTTGGCGTTGGTCAAGTTCGATGGTCGAGGGGTGATCGCGAGTCCGGAATTTAGCCTGCTGCTTTGCGCCGTGAGAAAAGAAAACTTGTAGAATCCTGAAAGAAGATGAAACTTGCTAGAGATTATAGTAAAGATGATTCACACGATCGAGATATTTGGTAACTGACATCATATTTAAGAAACTGAATAAAAAATTATTAATTTTAATGTGGCAACCGTATACTTTGTAATTAGTTATGTTTTTAAAAATAATGTGCCCTGCTCGTAATTTTAAAATTAAGTTTATTTTTAATGCCAAGAGGAGTAAATTTCTCTTAATGTAAAACGTTTAAATAAAGGGATGGGCGGTGTCATTAACTCTATTATTTTCGGCCTCTTGACTTAAAAATCCGGCCCTTAATGAGCCTTGTAACTGGCCCAATAATTTGCAAAATCCGGCCCACTTTATTATGTAGAGATAGGCCCTTGGAAACCCTTCTTTCCCTTTTCAGCCTGGGAGGTTTTCGATCAGAAAAGAGAGCAGCCTCTCAAATTTTCTCAGAAACTCTCCCTTAATCCCTCGCCCTCCATCTTCTTTTTCTGGCCGGCGATTTACCGAAGCGTCCAAGCTGCCGCGAACAGCTCCTGTTCGGAAGTCGCGAGCAAGCAACAGCAAGCCTCCCTCGCCGGCGTATCAGCAGCAAAGGGGTCTCTGTCCGCGTCAACGTCGAGCCATCGCCGGCAACAACCCACCGCGAACGACCAGCGAGAGCCACAGCCGAGAGAAGCAGCCCGGCGAACCTCTGTCCACGAGCAGTCTCGCTGGCGTCCGTTCACCAACCGTCGTCGCTGCGGCGAGTTACACGCCCTCAGCCGAGCCTCGCCGTGAGCAACCGCGACCAGACGTACGCCCGCAGCCAGGTGCCACCGGAGGCAACCGCTGAGACACCGCGTGAGCAGCGCCTTCGAGGAGCGGCGAGCCATTCCGATCGCCATCCATCCATCGAAAGCTGCAATCTGAGGAGTCACGCAAGCCGCAGCCGACGTCCACGAGAGTTGAGAACCACAGCTGAGCGTACGAGGTCCATCGTGGAGCGAAACCAATCGCAGCAGCTGAGCCCCTCGCTGGAGAGGAGGTTCACGCGAGCCACGCTGAGCGGCATCTCATCCTGCACGCACAACAGCCCTTGTTGTGTACTGGTACTTTTGTTGCCATTGCATTTGCACAGTCATGTCTACAAGGTGCTTCTTATGTCTGCATTTTTTGTGCTTTTTGTTATTTGTTATCTGTTATTTATAGCCGTGTGTGATAGGGATGTTATGGTTGTTCGAGTATCTGTAGGCTGTACGACATGTTTTCTCCATCCCTATCTCTCATTGATTTTCCTGGGTTTGTTGTAAAGGGTGGGAATCATAGAAATTTCATAAATATCAACAAAATATACTAAATTGTTCGACTTGCTACATGTCTAGTCTTGTCATTTTAGTGTAACTAGCCATTCGTGTTACATTTCTCTTTGAATCTTTATACTTAGAAAGTGACCTTGTTATCTGGCCAATCTGACTACAAATCACCAAAGTTGGATTCATGGTTATATCTATTCTCGCATGTGTCATGAGTTAGTCATCCTTTCCCCCTCATTCTTGATATTGGTGTTTTCTTGTCCAGAAAATAGCAATACTGCAATAGAAACATCGACAAGGCTACAAAATGTCCGAAGAAGCTGTCCACGTTATGCTGGCGTACGAAGACCCCTCCGACCAAAGATCCCTCTCCCCGGACTACTCAAGCAGCGCCGAGGAATCACACGAAAAAACCGAACTGCCTCTGGACTCGGCAGACGATCCCGTACCGTACGTCGGCCAAAGGTTCCCTTCTCAAGATGCCGCCTACGAATTTTACAGTGAGTTCGCCAGGCGGTGTGGTTTCTCCATTAGGCGTCACCGCACGGAAGGCAAGGATGGTATCGGAAAAGGCCTAATGAGACGCTACTTCGTTTGCCACCGTGCCGGCAACACGCCTGC